AATATATGTGTATATGCGGAGAAATAAGACTATAAGAAACATCTCAAATCATTAACAGCACTTTTTACTAAGTAGCAGATCATGAATCTTTGAGATTCTCTTCATAGTTCGTGCCATTTGTCCAATTTCTACAATGAACCTGCTTTAATTTTATAAAAGAGAGAAAAAGTTTTCTTAGGAAATAAGGATACACAAAGACATCCCTCCAATACACACTAACCTCACAGATACCAGGTTTAATTTTTCTTCCGAAATTCCATAGAAGTACAAAACCAACAAGGGGAAATATATGGTCATTTTTTTTTTTTTTTTTTTTTGAGATGGAATCTCACTCTGTAGTCCAGGCAGGAGTGCAGTGGCGTGATCTTGGCTCCCTGCAACCTCTGTCCCCCGGGTTTAAGCGATTCTCTTGCCTCAGCCTCCTGAGAAGCTGGGCTTACAGGTGCCTGCTGCCATGCCCAACCAGTTTTTGTATTTTTAGTAGAAATGGGGTTTCACCATGTTGGCCAGGCTGGTCTCCAATTTGTGAGCCACTATGCCTGGCCTTTTTTTTTTTTTTAAGAGATAGATGCAGTGGCTTATGCTTATAATCCTAGGACTTTGGGAGGCCAAGATGGGAGGACTGCTTAAGGCCAAGTGTTCAAGACCTGCCTGGGCAACATAGTGAGACTTTGTCTCTACAAAAAATACAAAAATTAGCTGGGCATGGGGCCATGTGCCTGTAGTCCCAATTACTCAAGAAGCTTGAGGCCAGAAGGGTGAGGCTGCAAGTCAGCTATGATTGCACCACTGCACTCCAGCGGCGTGATCACAGCTCACTTGCAGCCTTGAACCCTTAGCCTTAAGCAGTCCTCCCACCTTAGCCTCCAGGGTAGCTGAGACTACAGACACACACCACCATGCCCAGCTAATTTACAATCATCAATTACCGTATATGCTGTATTGGGCTCTAGGGAGATAAGGAGAACAGCGAATCCTGTTTTTAGGAAGCTGAAATCTGGCTGAGAAGAACTGCCAGGGCAGTTAAATTCAAACTGTTATTAGGGGTGGGAGCCTCTTGAAGAATAAGGATAAGTTCCAGAGACAAAGAGGAGTGGGGGACGAATTTTAAACCATACAAGAGATAGGCCCTAAGGCAGAGAAATACTAAGAAATGCTACTTGGTTCACATCCTTCTGATACATTGTTTGTATTCTTACAGAACTATTTTAAAATTAATACTTGAAGCAATATAAAACTGAAAGAAAGGGGTGAAAGACAGAAAAGGAGGAAAAAACGGAGAGGGTGGGAAGGAAGGCAGGGGATAGGCTGGGCGTGGTGGCTCACACCTGTAATCCCAGCACTTTAGGAGGCCGAGGCAGGCGGATCACGAGATCAACTGATGAAGACCATCCTGGCTAACACGGTGAAACCCCGTCTCTTGAAAAAAAAAAAAAAAAAAAAAAAAAAAAAAAAAAAAAAAAAAAAAAA